TCAACATCAACAGCAGCAACAACAACAACAAAATTTGCAAGGTTGGGACAATTCTGTGATTGCAGCTGATTTGGCCGGCCTGAACAGCAACCTTGCGCCTTCGGGCGTCCAGTCGAACCGGTCGAGCGCGACACGCAATGTCCTTCTCGACTCGATGTTGGCCTCGAACGGTGGCCTCCTGTTGGCGCCGCAGTTGGCGCTACCGCCACCGCCCTCCATGCCGCCGCCGGAGTTGCCCAGGTCTGTCGGCAGCCAAGCGACGCTGTGGCCGGCCGCCGACGGTCCGGCCAGTCCGGACTCGAACTCGCCCACCCTCGGGTTGGGGCTGGGGCGCGGACTCGGTGTTGCCATGACGAGCACCAACATGACTACGACCAACAATGCTGGTGCCTACACGACGGGCCGTCAGAATGGACCGTCGAATGACGGCGACCTCGACTCTGCCGGTCGGCTCATGCTGCTCCAGTCAACCGTGGCCGGTACCGGCCAAGCGGGTCGGATGCTGGCGCCAGGCCTGACCGGGTCGCCGCCGATCTACCTGGACCGGCATCAGCACCAGTTCATGCTGTCGCAGTCGCCGAATTCGCTGCAGCAGCACTTTTCGCCGCATCCGCTCCATCACAACCGACTCTCCATGCCTCCGCCGGCCCCCGAGGCGAAGAAGGAACGGATGGGCCTCCAGCGCACTTGACAACAGACGCCTGTTTGGCAGACCATCCACTCTTCTCGTCCACGATGGCATTTATCCATGCGCCCAACTTAACAAACCGACACAGGGTACCAATTGACACGAAAACTTGGAGCAAACGCATTGCATACCAAATCGTTCAGGCGTACATCAGCAAAGCATATTCTTCGGCGAAACTGGATCGAATTTTGCAAGTCTTTCGATGATATTCACTATTCCAAAATACCACCACACACACACACACACACAGACACATACATACATTAATGTATATCGTTAACTTTTCGCATAATTAACATGGATTCATAGACCCAGGCGAACACACACGACGTGTGTGGGTTGTCCGGAGCTGTGTACATAGTGCAGTTTGTACCTTTGCTTTCCATCTCTGAAACACCGGCTTGGTACACTTTCTTCTTCATGC